CACTAACCCCAGAGAGCGCCGCCGCAAAGGCGGCGGCGGAGCTCCTTGGGCTGGAGATAGTCCCACACCACAGCTCCAAACAAAGGTTACCTGAGAGTTGGTTGTTTTTCCGTCATATTTGGTCGTACTTTCTTCTTCGTCTGAAAGTTTGGCTGGGGTATGTGTGAATGACGATTCATCCTTATGTTGCAGCTAGCTAGCTATCTTATTTTTAAATAAATCAAACTCGAAATTGCAGTAGGCCTAGAAACTTTTTTTTTTTAATGAACCGCGTCGATGTCTTTTTTGAACAGAACAAATGAAAAAGGAAAAAAAAAGGCATCTCGAAATGTACATCTACGTACAATACCTTATCATGTCTGAGACTTGAAAGGCCAGTCAAAAAAGCATATTTTAGGGGGTAAATAAAAAAAAATGCGAAAGAATTGTTCCACTGCTGTGATCTTAGGAGTATTCCTCTAAAGTCTATTATAAATTTGCATAATATGCAAATCAGCTGTCATATATTTCCTGCCAGTGTTAACAAATTCATATTTTCGCTACAATAAGAGGGGCCCTAAATCGACCCTTGTGGAATTCCACATGAAATATTTTGCATTTGATATTGATTATTTTCATTTAGAAATCTACTGTGATTTTTTTTTCTCTTGGTCATTAATTTAAACCAAAAGAGGATCTGCATCTGATGCCATGATATACTATTTGTCTAATAATATTTCATGGTTTAAACAATCACATGCCTTTGAAAGGTCTATAAAAAAAAACAGTGACTGAAATATCATTATCAGGCTCCACAGCTCTTGACATGGTTTGAGTTTTGTGTGTGTGTTTCGGGGTGGGGAGCCTGAAAAAATGCATGTATATGCAAAATTGTGGTATATAATAATGTGCAATATACCGGGAAAACTGTTGATATTAATGATACCTCCCCCCCCCCCCCCCCTCCCCATATCGGAGATATTCGTCTCCAGCAGAATCAAGAATCAAGAATATATGACAACGAAGTTATTACATTTTCTTAAAATCCATACAGATGCTTCCAGGCTAAAAAATGGAAGTACGTGCAGGTTTAGCTTTATATCCCGAAACTAAAAATAAGACATAAGTACAAAATTTGTGAAGTTAATATCATGAGGGCTGAACTAGCAGCGATCCTAATTAAATGGGTAGCACGCATCACCAAATAGCTGTAGTAGTTTTAACTGATTCTAACTCGGCTCTAGAAGCCATTAGAAATTTCCATGAAAGCAGTATGATAGTCGAGATATATGAAAAATTAATGGCAATTAATCTATTTGGAATAGAAGTAAATTTTGAATGGGTTCCAGCACATTGTTGCCTAGCAGGCATTGAGGATGCATATGCTCTAACTATTAAAACAAATGGCTTCAAAAAACAATATAGACATTTTTGTCAATAAACAGACAAGAATTTTTAAATGAAATGAATGATTTTATACAACTGCATAGAGGAATTGTGGGAAACTACCGAGAAAGGCAGATAATTTATAACAAACAACGATATTTAAAATACACGGGTATGATAAAAGGTTTTTGTCGGAAGGATGACGGAATTTCCGTTTTGGTAAGTGTATACTTAATTATTACAATTACTCAATAAAAAGGCATAATACTGACCTTTGTGACAATAATTGTCATATTTTCGAAACTATTGAACATTTAATGTTATCATGCCCTAAATATGAAAGACAGAATCGTATGTGTCACAGACTCAAAACACAATGTGACGAATCCTAACCTAAAAAAACTAGTACTCGGAAAAAAAGAAAACTGCTCAATTATGTTAGCCTTTATTAAAAGGTTCTGGAAGATATAAAGAAATGTAAAGGAAAAGAAAAAGAAAAACAATTTACCAAAGCATGTTTGTGTCGTTATTATTTTTGTATAAGTTATGCCCTTAAGGCATAAAAGTAACAAAGTAAGAGTGAGAGGAAATAATGTATATACGAAGTCTGAATTAAATAAAATATGGCAGCCGATTAAATGCGCATACTATTTAAATATGAGACATCTTATTTATCATTAACTCTATAAATTGACACCCAAACTTCAAAAATATTAGTTCCAACCACTTTTAATATTAAATAACTAACAAATAATGAGTAAAGAGCACAAACTAATTCTCCATAACCTTGCACTATACGCCAAAAACAAAGGTCAAGGCAAGTCTTTATCTCACACACCGTAAGTATAGAGCTGCAGAAAGAGAGAGAGAGAGAGAGCGCAAAACGCCCTCTCACACCAAGCCTGCATGTCGAAAATCATCGACATCGATGGAAAGCGCCAACAAGCTACCAAACAACAACACCCCCCCCCCCCCGGTTTGTATAACTTATGCAATTTCATTCGATATTGGAAAGAAGCAGTGTATTCCTTTAACCATTGCCGAATATGCTTTCCTATCAAATGTATTAATGAACTTGAATTCACTACGGCTCGCGATCCGAATCTCCCACTGTAAATTTTCGAATGCTCTTTAATTGGATATCGATTGCCTGATGTTAACTGTTAGCTTAATTACCCTAAAATCAAATTGAACAATGATCATGATAATCATTCAAATTCAAACGAAAGCGAACGACTGACAGTTAGTGTTACCTTAGTTTATATCTTCTCAGAACTTATTGATTAATCTATAGAGGTATAGAGATTGATCAATAAAGTTCAGAGAAGATATAAACCTTATTTAAACAATATTCTATAAATCATTACATGACTCGAGATTAAAAAATCTAGTAATCTAGAAAGCAAATTTTCCGACAACACGTTGCACCCTAATCTATGCCCACAGATCCCTTCCCTCCATATAGCTTCACGATGTAGTAAGACCATTATTTTCAAAATTCGATGTGTCCCTTTATAAAGCCTACTACAATTATGTTTCGAGTGCGATCCGACTTTGGTCGATATGAACTCTTTTTTTTTTTTTTTTTTTTTTTTTTTGAAGTATTCAATCTTATTATGAAAAAAAGCAATGGCTTGTTCTAGTTTTGGGGATCTTTAATCAATTTCTCTCACGGAATCCCTATATAAAGACGTCTTGCATCTCTTAAGCATTAATCTATGATTTTCAATTATATGTTATTGTTTGTTTCTTCTTTTCTAGAATTCCCTTTGATTTGTTTTTCCCCTGCTGGCAGTAAAATATCATTTATGTTTTCCCTCCTGTGTTGAAAGCATTTTCATTATTGCATAAACTTAAAAGGTGGCTGGTGGGCTTTAGAGAAAATCTGTAATACCATTTAGATCTTATTTGATACAGATGTTCTCCAGTAATCATTTGTTTCACCTTCCTAAACTGATTTGATTAAGAGCATTGGCTTTCCTTCCAATTATAGACCTAGAGTGCGAAATAAGAGTCTTGTATACAATCAGTTTTGCGTTGCTACAGTGGAACAAAATTATTGTTTGATGTTCTTGATAGAACCATTGGAGTCATTATTCAAAGCAAATTGACTCGGAAATAGCAGTTTTTCTTAATATTTCCTTAAGTTACTTCCTTTCTCTTTTTTTCTTTCATCCTACACTGTCGCTCATTAAATTGGAATATTTTTGTTTTACAAATAATTTAAAAATAATTGATCTAGATAGTATACATTCTCAGAATTTATTGAATAATAATTTGAAAAGGTGTGTTTTGCGTGACTGCTAAAGCATGTGTATGATACTATGCTTATCAACTAGGGGACTTACGCCCTTAAGGCATAAATGACAGTAATGAGGATGAATCCCCCACAAAAGGGCACTAATATAGCACATCGACACGGTTTTGATCCTGGAGCCTCACAGTTACGAGGCGATTGCTTTGTCACTGAACCATGAATGTACGCAGCGGTGGCTAGGGTAGGGGGCAGTTTCCATAAATAAAATTAAAAAAAGAAAATGCAATAAATTTTCAATAATTTATTGCATTTTACCCCGGTTCCAAAAATAAAAAAATCCTCTGTGTGCCCATGCCTTGAGCCATAATGCATGGCCGTCCAGAGGATTTTTTTATGTTGGGGACCGGGGTAAAATACAATAAATTATTGAAAATTTATTGCATTTTCTGTGTTTTTGTTTAATTTATGGAAACTGCCCCCTACCCTAGCCCCCGCTGCGTACAGTCATGGTTCAGTGACAAAGCAATGGCCTCGTAAATTTGAGGCCCCAGGATCAAAACCGTGTCGATGTGCTATATTAGTGCCCTTTTGTGGGGCATTAATCCTCATTACTGTCATTTATGACTTAAGGGCATAGGTCCCCTAGTTGATAAGCATAGTAGCATACACATGCTTTAGCAGTCACACAAAACACACATTGTTCAAATTATTATTCAATAAATCTGAGAATATATACTATTATCTAGATCTATTATATTTAAATTATTTTAAAAATAATTCCATAAATTTGGGTAAAACAAAAATATTCCAACTTTATGAGCGACAGTGTATATCTTCTTTATTTTCCTTTTTCTTACTTGCTCTTTTCCACCCTTGCTCCTTTCCCTTTTTTTTAAGGGGGGGGGGGCGGGGGTTAGCAGCTATACTTTCTGTTTATTCCTATGTTTTCCTTTTCCGTTATCGTTCTTCTAATTCTTTCCTCTTTACCTTTCCCTTCTATTTTTACCCTCTTCCTAACTTTTCTCTCTCTCTCTCTCTCTCTCTCTTTCTTGCCTTGTGTTTCAATATTTCCTTCTCTCATTTTCCCCTTTCCTTTTTCTTTCCCTGTCCTTTCTCTTTTCTTCTTCTCGGCCCATCTCCTTCTTCTGCCTCCTTTTCTCGATCCTTCCCTTTTTGCCGACAGACCCCCGACGGACGGAAGTGAGGGCTGTCTGAGTCTCGATCGCAGCTGGCAGTCGTAGATTCTGACCTCTACCATGACTCCACCGAACAGGGGCGTGGCCTAGACTCCCCCATTGAGATTGTAGACTCTCGATCTTGCGCGCGATCGTGCAATCCCTTAGCATGCAGCTGGTGCCTTGTTGTGTTGGGGAGAGCCGGGAGAGCACGTTCATCTGAAGTCACTCCGTTTAATGTGAGTTATATCGTAATTTGTCAAGTTTATCAGTTCAAATACATGTATTCATTTGGCATTATCGTGGTATAGGAAACCAATTTCCTTCCCCCCCGGACACTTCTTTAATTTAACCTAAAACCTCTAAGGCTCTAGCCTAGCTTTGTACTGTAGCCTAGGCTTTGACTTGAGGCCAACCAAAGGCAAAGGGCAATCCAAACTATGTAGACTAGATCTAAGTTGTAATAAGTTATTTTGTCCGAAAGCAGAAAAATAAGATGATGATGATCCACAGCACTTGTATTGCGCCATTTATCTGTTTTCAAACATTCAAAGGCGCCCAAATAGAATGGCGAAAGTTTGAAATAAATCGGACCAACATTAAGAAATTTATGAATGTTTGAAATATGAGATCACTAATATTATAGTCTCTGAGAATCTCAAATTGGCAGTTTGGTGTGTGGAATGTGATTTAGCTGCGGATAACTCTCCTGTGTAGCTATGGTGGTATTGATCTGAAAATCCTTGTGAGTTTTCTTGTATCTGCTGCAAATAGAGCGGCATTGTTTTCTGAAGGGATGTATAAATCGTCACATAAAGATCATAATAGAGAGACCAATACTAAAATAGCAACTAGTGGCTAGACCGAAAGCTTCAGTCTCTCTAATCGTCGGTTGTTCCACTGAGACTACGTCTGGCTCCACTAGACCTCCATTTACAGAGACTGAAGTCTGGGGACCTCTTTCTGTGAGGCACTGTACGGAACAAATGGTTCGGTTCGACCGGACCACGATGAATGAGATATGCAACGAGATTTTCACTCTTTGCATCCTCATAACTGCTGCAATTATAACACAAATTAAAAATAACATATATATAGCTTATTTGACTTACGATAGCTTGCTCATTTAGATCCTAAATTAATGATTAATCCGAGAAAGTCTCGTCGTCAACATTATCCGTCTTGGTTTTAGTTGATGAATATTCATTTTTTCTTTTCGAACGTCCAATAGCTACCGTAGCTACGTACGAGTAAGCCCAGCTTGACCAACGAACTCCCACGAAAAGAGTGCTCTGATTGGCCATTTGGCTATGTTTTGGTAGGTTGACCCGGAAATATTTTGGCCGCCGGGTCATATAGCCCTATGTTCCGAGTGCATGAACGTTCGGAGATACAAATTGGATAATTCATATAAGTAAGTCCGTAAATTATCAATTTAATATTGAGTTATCAAATTTTGATAACTGTAATTAGGACAAATGACATACCGACCTAATTTACATCTGATTTAGAAATCAGGAAATTAGATCTAAATAAAGAAAATCGGGGAGAAAATGTCGTGGACGAAAGTATGCACATATAGGCCTATAGCCATCCCCACGGTACGAGATCTATGGGTTGCCATCTGTATTGGGGAATGACAACAAATGTCAGTTTTATTAAAGAAATGACCCAAATCAGATGGTTATTGCTGTCTACTAGTGGCATGAATGGCCTGTCATAGTTAAGTCCAACTTAAAGGTAAAGACCAGTTTTGGAAACGCCCCCCTCTCAAAAAATGAAATGGAAGCATTTTGACGAGAAACCGCCTATCTATATTTGGTAAGGTATATCTATTTGGACCGGATAGATATCGCGCATGTGTCAGGCATGTGTCGCGTAGTCCCATATACATCTTTCTTTGTACATCAGTGCTTGTAACTTTACCAAAACTGGGCCAAATTTCTTATCTTTTTGATGATTCCAGAACCTTGCAGTACACACCAATACTTATATGCTACATGATCAACCTTTTCTGATTGATTCCACAACGTTTCTTTCACAATTATGCAATCGCATGACCATAACTGGTCTTTATTTTTAAAGTCGATCTTATTTTTTGTGATGAGTGCTGAACTTGTGATGTTAATCAGTCTGTGATGAATTTGGGATTAGGGTGATGCAAAACTTTTTCATTCTTATATGGTATGGGTGCTGTGACGTAAAAAAAAAACGTTGAAAAACGCTGCTGTGCGTAGACCATATGTGATTCATGTTTAGTGGACCTAAGTTATGATGAATTGCAGAGAGATATATTATTAGAATTAGAAAGGGTGATTTCTTTTTTAAAGTGGAAAATGTAGGATATTGCTGATTCTACAGTTTCTGATACTTTTTGTTTGCTTAGTTTTTTAGTTCAGTTTTTTTTTAGATTCCAAATGTCAAATGACATGGCAGTAGGCACAGCTATTTTTGCAGAGATACTCCATCATGCCTCTGTAAGAGATCAAATTAGACTCATTCCCTACTTGTATTTGTCACAATTACTATTTGTTTCTCTAGTCTCTTTTCATACATATTCATTTCACATCATTTGCATAGTCATTTCATCCATTCATCTCCACCATTCTTCTCCACATACCAACGCTTCAAGTTAGAACAGGTGGTATGTTCTCTTCTCATTTGCATATTTCCACTTCTTACTTATCAATGGTTCTCTTCTCCTTTTCGTTATGAATATTCAGTTTTATTCTTAAACCCTATTTTGCTATTGGTTGATAATGTATTTTTAATTTGAATATACTTTGTATGAGGCTGCACATGGACAGCATGCTAGAGGTACAATAAACGAGAAACAAGAAACTTCCCATCCAAGATGACACAACCGGAAGAAGAGCTCGCTGGATGATGGAACTGCACTCATACTCATTTTCGATCATACATCGCCGTGGCAGATCTCACACTAACGCAGACAGAGATGCCAACTGTTCCGTTTTTGCTGTATTTGTTCCGTTTTTTCGCAATAAATATGGCAGTACGTTTTTTGTATGTTTTGTTACGTTTTTTTAATTTTTTTAAATTTTTTTTAGTGATGTTTTTTTTTCTTTCTAGTGATGTTTTTCTTAATTTCTGATCATGGGCTTTGTGTCGTAAGTGTATTATGCACCTACATCTTAAAACGATGCACGCAGGATGGTGATACGGGCCCCAAACTGCGCACATTGCGAACAACCCATGTGTAATGTATGCACGTCGCGCTCCTATCCTGGTACGTATACGTGGTACTGCCTGGTTTTTTAAGCTCCTCGATTGGGCGATATGTTAAGTTGAGAGATTTTTTCAAAAATACTGTTTTTTGTCCAAAAATACTGTTTTTTGCTCTTAAGAATACTTTTTTTTGTTGAAGAAGGTTGGCATCTCTGCGCAGATGCACTGTCCAGTCATGCATCGCCTTCAGATGGTGACTCACAGATCTCCCTTCTTCGATATCTCCGCATCTGTGCTCCCTGATTGCCACTGGACCTACAAGTTCCATTAGTACACAAACCAAGTCAACAAGACGTGAGCCAGAATCCTCGAATTCTATCAATATACCATCCCTTCCTACTTCAATGTCAGACATTGCTAATGAGGGTCTACTACCCAAGATTCTCCATCACCAACAACAAGATGAGGATATACAGGCCATCAAACACATGGTGGAGAAAAACATCAAATTTCAGTCCCAAAGAAATTTGTCTGCTGTCACCAAGAATATGACGCTTCTTATGGCAATTGAGTCGGTTTACCACACAAGATGGCATCCTCTATCGCACAAAGACAGACAGACGGAAGTCAACCACTTTGTACCAAGCAGTTATCCCTCAAAGTTTGGTACGTGAAGAAGGGCTCCACAGTCACCCTACTTCTGGCCATTTCAGTGCACAGAGAACACTTTCCAGAGCTGAGAATGATATGTACTGGCCATTCATGCATCGGGATGTTATGGACCACTGTGAGACATGCACAGCTTGCGAGTCATTCAGAAATCCAACACCAGGGGGCCGTTTCTCGAAACCAACTCCATGACAGTCATATCTTTGTCGGCGACCTACGGAGATGTCATGAAAAGGATAAACCGTTTCACAAAGCCATGACAGACATGATATCGATAAATCGCGATACTAGCAGCTCAACAACATAGTCTTTGCACGATCCATTTGATTTATCAAGAATAACCCAAAACAACTTTTGGGGCTAAAATTGTTCAAAAAGGAATATATGCATATAAATTCTCCTAAAATAAATAATAAACAGTGTCATTATCAAATGTAGATCATCAAACGATTTGCATATTTCTGTAAAGATTCTTAAATTGAAGAAAAACCAGTGAGTGTTTTTTTATCACTACGTACTTTTTTGTTTATTGTGACGAGGAATTTTAGGCAAAATACCTTTTTTCAGCCAGTTTTTATTCTGGAGTCTCATAAATACTCGTTATATAATTCAAGTTCAAGTTCAAGTTTTATTTCAATTCAAGTCCATAAAAGACATATAAGATACAGATTATATACAATATAGAAAACACAAAATACACACAAAATGGAAACATGTCTACAAATATATCGGAATTATAAAAAGTTAAACAGCAATAGAAATGAATTGGGGAAACTGCAAATAAAACCATAAGGTTCTGTCGAGGCAGCTCCCTGTTATTAAAAGATACATATACAAGTTCCAACAATTGGCTTTAAAAAGTATAACAATAACAAAACAGTGTACAAAACATAGGAGACGTATTAACATGCAAATATTATTATAGATTTAAAAACAGATGAAGTATTTTTTTAGTTTAGATTTAAAAGAGTTTAAGAAAGCAGTATCACGTATATCTTTGGGGAGAGAATTCCATATTTTCGGGCCAGTGTGTCTAAAAGTAAATAAGGAATTTGTTGATGGACATTTTTCAATAAAATAGTTATCAGGATTTCTAGTATTATAATTATGAACATATTTTTTACATTTCATCATAGTGGTAAGATTAATCGGCAGTTTATCAGTTTTATGTTTAAAAACCATGAGTGATATACAATATTGATTCAATTGAAAAATATTTAAAAACTGTAAATAATGGTATTGAATGGGCATCGAAATCAGACATAAGACATATTCTTACTATACGTTTTTGTAATATATGCAGTCGTTGTAATCTCGTTGGGTATGTGTTGCCCCATACAACATTACAATACATTAAATACGGTAAAACCATTGTATTATACAA